CTTGCTAGTATTTGCTAATATATGTCAATGCTTTTGCCATATTTTCTCTTACAATTCATGTTATCTCCATACCCATCGAAAATTTGGTTGCAAAATTTTGTTTTGTGGGGGGATATTATGTATGTCATTCTATGAAATACATAAGGAAGGGGAGGTAACTGTAATTCTACTTTCACTTTCACTTTTGTTTCTAACTCTCCTAAATAGGAGGCGGAATTAAAAAAGTTGAATAAAATAATAAAAATGGAAGACGTGCTTTGTTCTTCTGAAGCTTTCCAGATCGGTACTCTATGATCCTGGAAAAACTGATGGGAGTCATTACAGCCAACTAGTCTGGAGGCATTACGCCATGGAATTAATATGTATTTGAAGATGACCCCAAATAACAAAAACTTTGATATAATAAATGACAGTGCATTTAGAATGTTAAATTAAAGGCTGCCATGTCGGAGGTAAAACAGATGGAGAAAGGCTGCATCGAACATTACAATGCCATAGCTGAGAGTGATCTACAAAAAACGTATGCTTCGGGCCACTATACATTTTACTGACCCTCTATGGCTCTATAGAGGGTCATTAAGTGACTATCTAACATATAATATACAGTTAGTTCAAGAAAGCCTTCATTTTAAAGGGCTTTAGATCGACTTCTTCTTTATTTAGAATCCATATCAACATTCTATCACCTACTCTGCATTTCAGACACAGTCAAATGATGTGTATAATATTAAGGTAAGAGGTATGCTCTGAGCACAATGTGTTTCACTGTCTGCAAAAAAAAATCAATTGAATTTTAGCAAATTAACTATAACAGTTTCAATTAATTTATTTTCATTCTTTCAAGTATATGTAATTTCAGAAAGATGTTGCATCAAATTATATATACTTCCAATGCTATCTGGTATATGAAATTTACGGAATTTATTTAATTGATTTCTACCTTTCCTTTGGGTGTCCTCAGTCGCCTCCTAGGCTTCAAAATTTAGACACTAACAACACTAACTAGTCCTAGGATGATGAAACAAACGCTGTATTATGCAGTTTATTTGATTGTTTAGCTCTACTGTCTCTAACTATATCTAAATTTGTATCAAGATGTGCTATTAAATTGTGTGTTTTTTGTAAAACCTTAGAATGAATAGTTACCTGAACACACAGCAAGTGCCGGCTTTACATGTCTAAATTGAAAAGATTTCCTGAAAAACCAGAAGGAAGAAATCAGCTGTCGTCTTGACAGTAAAGTAATCCAAGTAAAATATTTAATATCAGTAATAAAATGATGTTTTATGGTGTCGTATTAGCGTTACTAGGAAATCGGAAATAAAATATTATATAAGCTGACAACAGATTTACAGTAACTTCTTGAAAAATTAATTCACAGCAACCACTAACAAGTACATCTGAATTAATAATTTATTCTGTTCGTGATGTGCATAGAACACTTCACGTTTCTAAATGAAAGTTGCAAATGCCACTTCAGTTATATCGTATGCATGGTCAGGTGTATTGCTATCTCTTAAGTGAAATGCTAAATTAAACACATCACAATGTATATTGTTGTCTGGCTTACTGCAAGTTGGTCATCATCTCTTACTGAACAGGTAGGTAAAATATTTAACCCAAGTTGATAAATCGAATCAATACTTTATCAAGAGATATTCTTAATGCTTTGTACTTCAGGTATCCTTATCATTTATTCTTATACTGTGTTAGATATATGAATATTAATACGCTGTATAATATTCCAAATATTTTTTGGCGTTTAAATTGTTTTATACTTGAGTCTAAAATTTGATAACACAGACTAGGATTTGATTTTGAGATATATACATTTTGACCTGGACTTTTTGACTGAAACTTCCCATTTCGTTCTAATTTTTTTTTTATAAATTATACTAAACACCTAGAAAAGGCTGGTTCTCCTTGCCTGTCCAGCAGTGCGTGCAAACATTTTGTACAAGATGTCGACCGCAGAAAGAATTTAATTCATTTTCATATATCGTACTTTATGTATCAAGCTATACTCCTGATTAGATTTTAATAGTCATAGGTCAAGGTTTAAGGTAAAATTTCACGCTTGAAAACCGTTGAAATTAGATGATGATGTAGATGATATCTCAATAGCTACTGAACATTGTGAACAATTTGATTAAAAGACAAAGAATTGAAAAACATCTTAGGATCATGCACATTTAGTTATTGAGTAGCATGAAAATAAATAGAATTCTATATTTTCTTGATTATAAACATGTTAATACCGAGTCCCCTAATAACTTAATCAGTCGTAAAAATTCGTTTTTCAACTCAAAATAATGTTACATAACACAATCAAAATTGACCGTAGCCTTTTTTCAAATCAAAAGAGACGGATGTTCCAATATTCGAAGTTACATATTGCATTTTATATTTATAAGAAAGACACAGTTGATAGACACTGCGTTAAAACGGATATGAAAGTATATAACCATGACAAGTCCTAGACGACCAAATTGCGTTATTATAAGTTCGGCGAAGTTGCATAAAATCTTTAACTCAAAATTATGTTAAAGAGGCATTTGAAAGCACTATGAAAACGTATATAGATATATTCTACCTTTTCGACTACAAATAAAAAGTGATGGATTCAAAATAAATTTTTGTTGGGAACAAATTTCTGATATTAAGATATTAATATGAAATCAAATTCATTCAGTGTGCATTGTCTTTATTTGCTCATAAATACCTAAAATTACTGAACCATTTCCTTCTTGACAACATTTTCATTTCTTTACCATTTACATTTGTAAATATCAAAGGTACGATGTCCGGCTTTGTTTCTGGAAACTTTTTCGTTCCGCATATTTTTCGTTATTGATCAGTTATTCCTAAATATCACTATCAGACACATTTCGTTTACATCGAGCAATTTTCTTCCGGAAGCCGTAATCACATCGCGCAGATTTGTTTAGCACATCGTGTATTGTTTTGATAACTACACCTCATGAAATCCTTTACAGATTGAACAATAAAAAAATAGTATTTGGTTGAAATCCATTCAAGCTTTAAAAAATGTAGCATTTTGAAGTAGAATATAATTTTACTTCTCCTTTTGGGGCCTCGCCCACAGCCAGGTCCTAGAGATCGAATTAGCTTCCCTACTTATATTATATACAAACAAATCCCATTTGGGGCTTCGATCCCAGTGTCCTTAGGGGTCGAATAAACCTTCTGAATTTAAGAAATGATTCCCAAATCTCAATGTTTCTGACCAAATTTTGTTGAAAACTATTCCAGCATTAAATAAGAGCTGCATTTTGATGTAAAATATTGATATCTTTCCCATTTGGGGCCCCGCCATCCGTCCATCCCCAGGTCACTCGGGATTGAATCAACTTTCTGAATTTAAGAAATGATAACCCACCTGTAACCAGGCATTAAGAAGGAGTGGCGTTTTGAAGCAAACTATTGTCTCATTTCCCCTTTTTGGGCCCCAACCCGAAGGCACTAGGTGTTGAATCAACTTTACGAATTAACGAATTATTTGCCAACCCCTACTGATGTCACAGACTAACGTTGAATGAAAACCATTAAAGCATTAAAGAAAAGTAGCGTTTGGAATCGCAGTATTGCTTGACAACCCTTTTGGGGACCCATCCCAAGCTTCACAGGGGTCGAGTCAAATTTCTGAATTTAAGAAATACTCCCCACCCGAATGATGTTTCAGACCATATTTGGCTAAAATCCGCAAGGCGTTAAGCATGAACAGCGTTTTAAGGAAACGTTTACGGACGGCGAACGACGATGGATGATAGCATTAAGTCATCTTGACCCTTAGAGTCAGATGTGATAAAAAATCGCATATGCCAATTATAAGCTATTTTGTCCTTTTAAAAATGCTCTTCACAATGTGCTGTTAATTCCTAATTAGGCCTATAAACTAATGAAAGAACATGAACACGTAATCAGATCTGTCGCCGATATTAAAACAATTACTAACACTTAATCGTACGAATTCAATGACGCAATCCAGAAGTTGCTTTGTTTGCATCTTTGTACTGTGCCGACCACATTTTACTTCTTTATACAATACATCTTTTTAACACTCTTAATGGTTTTCTGTTCAATGTCTACGAACAAATAGTACCGCAAGAACTTATCATACAAAACTAACTCTAAACTATTCTGCCATGTTTCGTATTAAAGTTCTCATCGTTTCGCAAAGGAAGCTTTATCGCTACCACCTGTTGTTTTCAACTTTATTTTACTGATTTTAAACCATTTATTCAACAAATTTTAAAAGCTCAGTGGCAGGAGGCTTGGAATACCTATTCCAATAACAAATTGCACTCCGTTTAACCTGTTATCGGTGAATGGTCTCCAGGCTACAGAAACAGCCACTGAGACGAAGTTGTCTTTGCCCGTCTTCGTATGGGCCATACATAACTTGCACATTCATATATGTTGAAATTCGAAGATACTCCTTGGTCCATATGATGTGATGAGCCATTCACCGTTAAACATTTTATTGGACTGAGGTGACCTTTATTTTTATTGTAACAGTACATGTTTAAAATCCCTTTTTGAAACTGTTGAGATTTGTAAAATTCTACCTGAAAGTTGTTGGTCTGTATAATAGACTATGACGTGTCATTTTAATCTTTTGTGTTAATATACCCATTTAAGATTTTTAACATTTGTCTTTTACCTTTTGGTTTGTTTAATGTTATTCCCGTTTAGATCACTGTGTGTTTTACCGGTTGATTGCCCTAATGACCATTTTATGTGTTGACGGACCATTTCATGTGTAAAAGATAAAGATTGAAAGGATTATAATAATAACCTGCTAGGTCATAAGTAACATAGAAAGAAGTTTTAAGAAATTTTACACCATTACTTTGGTATACTGTACTTATTTCTGCATATATTTTAAACATGGTTGTTTAGTCCTAAGTCTTTCGTCCAATATTTATAACACATTATGATTAAATTTCAGCGACCAGTGTAATACCTGCGTGATAACAATGGCGGACTTGAGCTACTTGTCCTGTCCGAATCCTGCCCAACTTCGATACCAATCTATTATTGACGTGTTAAAAATGAAGACAAACGAGGCTCCTGAAAACGAAATATGTGTTGAACGATCCGTGGATGGCGGAAGAAGGTCTCTGAGTAATGCTGAATTGCTGAATAGGTCCACAGACATCGCTAAGTACCTTATATCTAAAGGAATCAAACCAGGAGATAGCGTGGCCATCATTGGGCCAAACTCGATAGAGTGGATCATTGGCGAGTTTGCAGTCCTCATGGCAGGGGCTGTATCTGTTCAGATTCACAAAACATCAGAGTTGTTCGCTGAGACATTAAAACTACTGAAGTCTACAAACAGAAACGCTGTTTTGATTGACCCTGAATCGGACGAGGAATATATATCTGATATGGAAACCTACTGCAGCAGCGAACAATCCATGAAGGATAAAATGGTAGTCTTGTTACTGAGGAAATCGTCAACGTCTTCTTTGGCTTCACTGGATGATATTACCTTGACCGGCGACGAAGAAATTTCCCTTCCAAGGATACAACCAGAGAGTATCGCTTTAGTATTTACCACTTCTGGTTCCACTGGCTTTCCTAAAATGGTCGAATACACACATTTCTCATTCGTCAATGCTTCCTATTTATCCTTTATCGGAACAGCGGGGAACCGAACATACGGTATATGCTACAATGATCGACCATTTTCTTGGTTTGGAGGTTCGCCTCTGTTCAGTATCCTCAATGGCAACACACGAGTGTTTATGAACACTTCAGTAGGAATGGAGACAGAGAACATATTGACGATTTGGGACATCATCATGGCAGAGCAGTGTACGAATGCTATGCTACTTCCTTATGCAATATTCGATATTCTTGCAAATCTCGACACTATCACCAAAACAGGCTACAAGCTGTACGCCATCGCTACCGGTGGACAACGTATTGACAGGCATGTCACTGAAGTCTGTGGTAAATGTACAGAGAAGTTGTTTATGGGTTACGGGTCAACCGAGGCCGCCGCTGTATCCTATATCGAGTTGAAGACGGAAATGGAAGAAGGGCATATTGGATCGCTTTTTCCGGGCAACGAGGTCAAGATCGTCAGTGACAAGAAAGAAACCATCGATAGAGGGCTTCTGGGCGAAATCCTTGTGAGGTCTGCATCGATGTTGAAATCCTACCGTAATGCCCGAGACCTTAACATAGGGTCTTTTGTCGACCATGGCTGGTTTCGAACTGGCGATATCGGAACTATCACAACAGAAGGCAAGTTGATTTTGAAAGGCAAATCCAAAGACGTCATAAAGCGGGGAGGTTTGAAGGTTTTGGCAAGCGTGGTAGAAGCAGTGATGTCCAGATTTCCGGAAATTAGAGAGGTTGTGGTGATTCCGGTTCCGGATACAAGACTCCTTGAAGAAGTATGCGCTTGTTACGTACTGATGGATAATGTAAATACAACAGAAATTGACCTGGATAAGAAATGCCGAGTGATTCTTGGTGACAACGTATTAGGTAACACACCTTCCTATTTTCTCAGGTTTGATTCTTTCCCTAGCCTTGGTAATGGAAAGATCGACAAAGTTCTTCTCGGACGGCGAGCCGTGAAAAGACTTAATCTCGCATGATGTTCCTTGTCCGACTCTCATAAATAGGCATGATGCACGTGAACACAAACAAGACAACCAACTATAAGGCCAGTGTTGTGTATGGTGTTTACCTGACCGACATAATTTCAGCTGAGGAGGGTTTGTTTATTCAGCAATATATTAGCTCTAAATCTGTACAATCATATCTTTTTAACCGATCTAAATTAATAATTAATAAATTAATTGTTTGCTGGTACATTCGCAAACTTTGACTGATTCACACTGTATCAACAAATTATATTTCTTTTGTCTTTAAAGAAATTCTTCCATCAGTTCACGACCAGGATAGCAAGATATAGGAAGTACAGCAGCATTGCCATGCGTAATTCATGCAAGAATACAGGGTTCAGAGATGGTGGTTGACGATGACCATATAGGTCGATATTATCTCATCACAAAATCATATTTCAATCTTTTGATGCTCGTTATCTTATCTGGTGATTCCGTTGTTGTATACATTGTTCACTCTTAGAAACCTGCCAACACTTACTTGAACTGACCCAAGATTTGTATTGGGGCGTTGTCGATGAAGCAGGAATTTTGCACCTTTTGAAGAGCTTGCATTTAAATCTTTCTTTGTTCATGGTTTGCCCTAGTTCTATCAAATTCATAATTGAATTATGATTTTGTCTGCCTTATTACTTCACAACGCAATATCAGTGCGTGAAGTCATTTCATAATCAAATAATTCATTTTTAGTTATTTGTACGGTAAATACTACATGGAATTCAATGTCGAGCGAAATTTCTTTTACATTAGCGTAAAAGAAATAATACATGCCCATATATTCTGATTGGTTCTTCAAATAAACGCACGCAACCTGAAGAACTACTTTTTTACGTGAATGGAATTCTTGGACTACAACTTTATTACGATGTACCAGTCACACAGACAGCACACATATAAGCAAACTTAACATACGAGGAATGTTTAAAATATATTAAATATCTAGAAATATTAAATAAAATTTAATATGATATCTATTGTCATTGCATTTTATTTTAACGATTTGAAATGTGTACTACAGTGTGGCACGAGCTAAAGGCGTCGTCTGCTATTTGCAAACCTCTAAACAAAACTGGCTTCCAAATTTGATCTCGGGAGACGTTTTTGATTTTGATGCCGAGGCCAGTTTGCATGACAGAACAATGGACAGCTTGGATGTGTTTAACCTAATTGAAATGGCGGTAACTGGTTCTTTTTTGACAACCGACGAGGTAAAACGAGAAATAGAAATTGCCATAACAGATCCCTCAGAACATGTTGAGATCTCCAGTGTGACGCTCCCGAAGTAGGATAATCAAACCAAACGATTAAAAAAATTACAGAAGACGAAATGGCAAACATAGAACACTCTAGACAGTCCAAAGCTACGAAAAATAACACCAAATGGGGTGTGAAATTATTTCAAGGTAGGTTTATGTATTATGTCAAAATCTAAATGTGGTTCGTAAACAAAGCGTTGACGTTGCGTAATATCCCGGCTTGGATTCGAACCTAGATCTCACAACGTGATTTGTTCGATCTGATTTAACTATATGGATGTAAATTTATGCAAATAATCAACATTTTTACAGAATGAAGTATGGAGTCGAAAATTTGAAACAATTACCAAAGCTGAACTTAACGAAAACCTATGCCGTTTTTATACAGATGCTACCTTCAAAAATGCATATGGGAGAAAACATGGTAGGAGATTACCACAAAAACAGTCTCAGAAATGTCAGGGCAGCATTGAATCGCCACTTAAAAGATCTGAAATGTTTTTTTTTTCACATTGTGCGTGATCGCGAATTCAAACTTTCCAATCAGATGCTGGATGGAAAATTGAAACACAATGTAAAAAAGTGGAGTGTTTTGGCCTTCCGTAAATAAGCAAGTAATCTCACGAGAAGATTTGGAAAAAAATCAACACTTACTTTGCGCCGTGAACTCCAGTCCTCCGTTAAAGAATATGGTTTAGTTTTGCTATCCATTTTGATTCCAGGGGCTTATAATTTCACCTACAACTCATTACAAAATCATTCTCTTTCAATCAAAATGAAAGTGGTCGTGAATTTGTGTCGATTGAACATGAGTTAAAACAGAAAATCTACAGGGTGGCCTTGGAAATAAAGAAATATTCGGGGATAAAAGAATGTACGAGACGGGCGATGACAATTGCTCCGTCAAACTCCTGAAAGAATTTCTTTCCATTTTAACCACTGCAAAAAGAGGCGATTGAATATCCATCTCGCGAAATTTGGTTTACCAGCAAAGCCATATCAATGCACGAAATTCATGAAAGAGATTTCGAAAAATGCCAAAAGTGCACACATTTATATGGCACATTGTTTACACGCTACGGCAATACAGGCCATGAATGACATGGTACACGAATTTAGGCATAAAACACCTTTTACAGGCCACAGAAATGAAAGCTCCATTCGAAGCCAAGGCAACGTAGATTTCTCCGCTCGGTTATTATCACATTCATTTTTCCAGAAGTGTATATTTTCCTTTGAAAAGTAAATAACATAATTCTTGTAAACATTCAGCCATTTTGGTTCTTGTTTGGCGCGTCATGTGATGTCACATTTGAAAATGGTCGCGGAAGAACTTGTGAAAAAGCATTACATGATTAGATGTCAAAACAATAATACCTGCAGTTTTGTATTAATCATAATAAAATTAATTTTAAGCATTGAAAGCATGATACCCGCATTCATGATAAGTTTGCAATTCGTTTTTTCTTTCATAGTTGCATGAAAAAATAAACATGCTTTCAATGCTTAAATAACCTTATGCAGGATGAATTCACATTAAATATATACACTGAATATCAAGACAACGATGTGACAAAAAGTTTACTTAATCGGTTTCACATATTAAGTGAGCCATAATACATGTGTAACGGTTCGTTTTGTTTTTTGTTTTTTTTTTTTCGGGGGGGGGGGGGGGGTTCGTGTCTGTACAAACCAAGAACTCGTGTTCGAATTGGCATCTTAATTATCTTTGTATTAAATGATATACACCTGCACAACACTGGAAGAATACTGTCTACACAACTTATTCTCTTTGTTTACTTAACACAACATCATATACAATTTAAAGCTGTAAAATCAAAGCCTCAAAACTAAAATAAGAGAAACAACATTTATTCAACATGAAGAAATACCAGCCATTTGTATAGGTTCTTAAATCCCTCCGCTGTTGTCAATACGTTTTTCACATTTAAAGGTCTAGGTATATGAAAGACTACATAATGTTCATAAACTCTTCAAAGATCACCAATTATGCAAAGAATGAGGGGTAACAAAATTATAACACACATTCTTAAGGTCTGCCTACAATGCGTTCATTCGATCTCAATATCAAACGGCCACAACTAGCGGCAAAGGCATAGCGCTGGATATACAAATAACAAACATAAATGTCACTATGATTGTAACTATCACACATGGAAAATACCTTGATCGCTGAAGGTTTAAAAGACATATTTGTAACGTATGATGAACTTCGAGTAGTTAGCCTTCTTCAAAAAATATGCTTTCCCCGTGGTTCTTAGTTCATCACTTTTAAGATGGAATCATTCCGAGGCAACTTTTTAGTTCACTAGTTAATTAACAATACTCATCCCTACCTCTCACTTTGTGACACCATTTTTTACGGAACATTTTCTTCTGGTAATGTCAATAGTACGCTCCAAACTGGTCACTTTGATGAAGGTAACCGTATAGTTATCAAAACGTCACACTATAATCTTCTACTATTTGTGTTACATGAGCTTCTTTTCTGTGTGCTCTACCATCTCTTCACAAGGAAGCAATTTTAATTGCAACGATTTGTTTGGGTCTACATGGCTGTTCAGACGACCTTTAAAACTATTTTGAAAGAACAACCTTTGATGCCTTACCGGTTTACATCTTTTAAAAATGAGTAAGGCCATGCGTCACATCTTTTCCTTCATTGCATCGAAATTTCTGCGAGTCAAAGTGTGTTTCCCATCCTTGTGCCGCATCAAATGTCGGCACAAATCTCTTTCATGAAGTCATCAAGCATTGCAGGATTTTCTAATCTTCACAACATCTTTTGTCAACATCATTTCTTACACAATATGCTGTTTGCTTGTTATCATTATTCTTTGATGCCAGGTAAGTTTTTGACACTACTCCCTTTAACAGTCTCGATATCTTGTCTTTCAGCACATATTCCTAATGGTAACAGCAGTTGACATGATAGTGCTGTCAAACCGTATTATACTGCCGAAGTCTCAAGCAGGACAACCTATCAAGTCACATTATACTGCCATTGGGCGAAACAGTTGCTACACTACTATAATACCGATCAGACGTCAGATAACAAAATATGAACATCCTGAAGAAGGTATAAAATACAAACTACAGTCGAAAAGGAGAAACAAGACTACTATTTGATTGGTTCTTTCTACAAGACATACTCAGAAACAAATTATATAGTTCCTATTCCTAGTTGATGAGTTTCCACAACTAAAGTGTTATAGACCAAACACCAGGAATTACACTTCTAAGCAATACCTTCAGCTCCGGCTAGTACAATTAAACCCACAAACAAATCCAAAATACAGAACATATAACAACCATCATGAAAAGCGTAATCCAAAACAGAGCTTTATCAATGAAGGTCATTACATCTTTTGCACTTGGAACGGTTTCCATTTCCTGATGTTGAGTTAAAGTGTCCGATTTTTTGTCATACTCATTTGTAAGGACAACACTTATTTCTTTCCCAACGTCTACTTTATTTTGGGGGACTGATCTGCTTGGCTTTTGCCTGGAGGCTAACCATAATACCCATCTAGGGAACTTCTGAGTATCGGTATTGGATACAGTATCACATCGTAACGTGAATATTGTTAAAACGATTAGCAGACAGCTATACAACATCGCAACAAGCAAAAAATACGAAATTCCCGCCATTGGATCTGAAGTCTTCGGCATGTTTTCCCCGATAAGCGTCATATACACTGCCATCGACAGGAAGATGGTAATTGTGTAGGAAATTCTTTCCCCTGAGCAGGCCGGAAGAAGGAATACGAATGGGTTCAGGAAGCACAGGAGCAGGATGGGTGAAGCCATGGATACCAAGAAGTATGCTGAACGTCTTGTCAGGTGAACAGAAAAATCTATTACGGAATGAGATGGACCGTAATATGTGTAGTTTGTCACAGATGTCCAGTCTATGTCCCATTCTCCGTTAGGTTTATAGTAATCCAAGTTAATTTCTTGGTTTTCAATGATAAGTATCATTTCAAATGCTGTGAAAGTCCACGGGGTTACTTGCAGTGTACATAACTGCGAATCTAACGGAAAGTTGGTCATGTCGAAGAGGCAGCTCGCCCTCAAATGTCGACCTGGTGCACACGTTACCGTGCCATTGTAATATACTCGAACATCAAAGGCGTCAAAGGAGATATCAGATAAATCGTCAGCCGATGAAGTTATATAAATTCTGGGTGTCCAAATTTTTGACGAATTGAACACAAATGAAGTGATGCCAGCGAAGTCACTTTGATTCCAAACAAGCTGATCATCTGTCCATGTTATCCTTAGACCACAGTTAAGCGTGAATGTCCCAGTGACTTCATCTAGGTCTAAGATAGATATCATGAGCATATCAACTGATACATGTACTGAATCACTTAAGTTATACACCGGCCGGAAGTCCTTGGTGTAGTTCCTGAACAGCACATTCCTAAGTCTCACCAGATCATCTCTCGTTCCTTGCGAATGTGCGAGTGTTATGAAAATGTACATCTCGAACCAAATAAACGCCGAGGGTTTTGTCATTTTGCTTTGTTGAATAATTTATATCCGCTGTGAGAAGAAACATGTTAATAAAATTAACAGAATTGACAAATATTTACAAAAACACATAGTACGATTACTTTTAGACATTGAGGGGGTATTTACTATATTATCTGCGAGAAAAAAATCATTTCATGCCGGAGGAGAAATTATAAGTTCTCGTTTTGTTGTAAACAGACCTGTTTTTCAATGGTCTTTATTACACAATGACAAATAACGAGATATTAATGACAAAAATAAATTATTATCTTACCTGTTGAATATATTTTATCCTTGCACTGTATCCAAAATTTACACGGTGAAAAATGCCGAAACACTTCCTCAACGATACAGGTTTTATACACCCGGTAACATGGACATTGGCCAATGAATGATGTTATCGGCTGCCGTCATTAACAAAACTGAATTTGAATATTTAAGCATCTGTGTAAACCAACTATCAGCACTAACATCAAAAGGTACATAGAGAGTCATGGAGTTCGATCGATGTTTGCTGACTGATTGAAGGTATTTTCTTCTGTACATCGATAAGGTATTTGTTGTTATAATGTGTTTCAATGTTAGTATGAATTCTGCTTTATTATTGGAATTTTACCGTCAAAAATAATGCCTTTATACCTGTTCTTCAATTTACAGTACTAATTAATGAACTTGACCGCCGGGCCATTTTAACAGTTAAGTTTCGATTTATTTTTGTGTTCTGAATTGTTCCACGCATTTCATTGTTTGTGTAGCCGTAACCACTTAATCAATTACTGGATAGGTTGTCATCGGCCGTTTTTTTCCCTTGTTCTTCCGCTGAATGTTAAAAACAAAAACTGAAAACGCATCAGTTTATAAATATGGTTAACGTATAAACAAATCACTAAACCAGAAGGTTTTATTTTCCCCCCGATATATGTATTTGTAATAAGAAATAGGATACTCGAAACGCAAACTTAACACTTTTTGGGTGTACATTTCCTTCTAATTTTATCACTGACGATTGCTTTACTAAAAACTACGAAAATGCGGCTAATATGATAAACCTTGATGCAGCATAATTCTATCGTGTGGTTTATACGTTAAGACTGGTAATCATCTGCGTGAAAAGTTTACAAGAAGCAAGCATTGATTTTCATGAACATGTATGAATTATAAAAATACTCCTCTGAATTTTGTGTTGTAAGTTGTTCAAATACAGTTCACCGCGTTCTTTATCAATATCGTTAAGTAAAATACGCTACTTTAACGTAATCAAAACGACATCTTTAAGTTTCGCCAGTACTTTTTTATGACCTTAATTATGTCCGATACTCTTGGAAACGTATGTTTCCAGAATTCGGAAATTGAATTCGCATTGTTTTTTGTCTATCACAGTCTCCTCAATCCTGACACAAGTAGCTTAAATATTGTTAAATATTTGAATATTGCCCTAACGTTAATAATTACGTGATTTTTTTTAAATCATGTTTGGATATGTTGATATATTGAAAATAAATGGTTCTTCTTATAGGACATATGTGTGTAAAACGTCAACTTCCTGTTTTCGGCAGGGGTCAAAGTTCAAAAGTGCGATTTAGGGTTCCAAACTAATGGTTGAAAAGGTCTAGACGTTTGATTACACAAACATACTGACAAGGTAATTGACTATTAGATTTGTTCATGTGAATGAATTTGACCTACTTTCAAGGTCACATGGCTAAATTATATTAATATCATTAAATGATGTTTTCTTGCTTTTTAAGAGTTACATGATTTGGTTAACAACCTCCTGTAGAGGTTCGCTTTTGATTGGTTTAAGCAATTATTTCACAAAAAGGTCAACTTCCCGTTTTCCATAGGATTCAAAGTTAAAGACTTCAATGGTTGATATTTATATATACGAAACGTTTTCTCATGTTTGAAAGGACCTAGAGATTTGATATATAATATATATGTAGGTTATATGATTTTCTATTTTTGATTTTTAATATGGATGACCTTGACATAGTTTCAAGGTCCTGGGGGTCAATTAAATTAATATTAGTAAATGACGTTTTCTAACTTTTAAAGAGGAAACAATTACGTGATGATGTCATAAACCTTCTGTGGAAACTTGCATTTGATTGGTATAAACTTCCACCTTCCGGTTTTCCTAAGGGATCAAAGTTCAAAAGTGCAATTTAGGGTACGAAACTACCAGAAATTTATTCTCAAGTTTGGAAAGACCTAGATGTTCGATAATTCACACATTTATTGCTAAGGTAACTGTCTATTAAGGCGGTTGATCTAGACCCACTTTCTAGATCACAGGGGTCAATTATATTAATATGATTAAATGACTTTTTTTTTTACTTTTAAAGAGAAAACAGTTACATGATTTGATTAACAACCTTCTGTAGAAACTTGCTTTTTTGATTGGCTTCAGCAAAACTTCCACAAAAACCCAACTTTCGGTTTTCCTTAGGAGTCAAATTTTAAAATTTCAATGTAGGGTACCAATGTATAAGAAACTTCTTCTCAAGTTTGGAAAGCCTTGGTGACTTGATATCTAATACAGATAAAGTTAATATAACTGCCTATAACTGTGTTTTGATATCTTACTATGATTCATTTGGTATTTACACATACAGAGTGTCAATGTATTACAGGCAGTGCCTTTAATTACAGGCTAAAATAGGTGCAAAGCCCGTCACAATTGTGTCTATGACAGTTTCTAGTTTTAAATCTAACCATTTCAATTATTTCTGCACGTCTTACTGCTGGAATGCACAATTACGTTACCAATTAGTTGGAATATTTGGTACCTGTATCGTCAGAATTCATGTCCGCGTGTAGATAGCAAGTATGGTCATAAGCCATATAGAACGACGATATTTAGTAGCTGTGTTATGTATAAATGTTGTGTATTAATCTAAATTCAGATGTGCTGTGGTTACATGCATTGTATTATATTGATTGTTAACATAAAAACATGTTAATAATTATTTGTCATAATATGAGTAGATAGTGCTAGGCAGATTTTTCTAGAAAGCTCGGTTACTAGAATGACCTTTGTGTTTCCGGAGGTTTCTAAATCTAGAAAGCTCGGTTATTAGAATAATAGAAAGACACATGTAAACAAGTTAGGTACCTGCTAGTCTAGAATCATCTGGAAAAGAACTTTCTAGAAACCTTTAGTGTATATAAACATGATGGAACAGAGCCTGAGGAACGTTTTTGAAGTATTGACGCCTTGAGTGAGCTTACTTTGAGACTTCAGTCTGTGAAGTGTGGACTTTTACAGTGATTTAGTGATATTGCCTATTGGACTTGCACCCAGCGAGGAAACCATTCTTGAATTATTCTTCGGTTACCATGTTTCCTGGACAATATATTGTGAATTCTTCCGGATTTGGAGGACTTCCACGGAAAGATAAGTTGACTTTTGACTAATTAGTAGCTAGCTCTGTACACCATCACAATATTTGTACCTTTACTGCATAGAATTTATTTGTTGTTATTAAATTGTCGAATTTTAAGCTAGCTGTTGGGTTTTATTTGCTGTACGTTAATTCCGTAACGTAACAGCTGATAAACATTACTGACACAGTGACAACGTATTGTTCACGTAACAAAAACGTAAAGAAATACAACACAAGTAAATCCCTCTATATTCGATACAATTTAAGACAAAATATCAGTATATCTGAAAGTGATATTAAGACTTTCCAAGTTTTTCGTGACCTGCATCGATAAGCTCTTCGATAAATTCAGCCTCGTATGAAAACAAAAAACAGTTACCATAGATACACGAATATTCTGTTGGAAGATCTTGTCACCAAATTAAGAATCGGAATACTTGCGAAAAAGCGCCCACAAACAGATTCATTCACTACAATGCTGACACTTATGAAAACTCGCAGCAAAACTTTATACATTATTCGAAATTGCAAGTGATAATAGACACACCTGATGGCCATTTAGTCATCAATATTTCCCATTACATTGCATGCCAAGATTTGATTCCTTCGAACAGGGGCAATTTTTAGGATATATGACATTTTTCTTTTCAATTTTCTTATATATGGAAATTACAAGATTTATAAAGTATTGGGGCTAGTCCACCTCCTTGTCTCGTCTCCATTTCGACCTGAATGTTCCAGTCGTCTCCTATGCCTCATAATTAAGGCCTTTCAGCTTCACTAACAATAATAATTATTGATATTACTATCTTAACGGCCTGTCAACACATTACAGGTCATAAGAACCATCAACCAGTGAAACACACAGCGATCCCAATAGGAAATTCTTAGAAAAATGAAACGGATACACGATGCAATTAACTCTCAGTTTGTATGAAACGGTGATATTCATTTATTTGTTGCTTGTACAATCTTTATAAGTTCTAAAGGTCTTAAGTAGTCCAATATGAGCAATACAGGTGCCGTATAAACTAGACTGGAGGCGTTGAATGTCCCGATTATTGTCATTTGACCACATAGTATAGAGAAGGTGAATATGAAACTAACATTAGTATAGTATCATATGAAGAATGATGCAAAAACAACCAGTGTTCCGTCATTTTAAATGGGGATATCTCATTCAGTTCAGTTCAAAAGTGTAAACGCACGTTATAGTATTAATGTGATAACGTTTATTCCAAACACTAGGACACACACAGTCAACAAGAGAACTGAATCGTTTCTGTATGTCTTCGCACGACAAGTAACAAATACTCTGGGGAAAAACTTTCATTTTGAATTTGTCGTTATTGTATTCTATGATGCTGGTCAGGAAAACGTTTTTTCTACGAATGTTTTGCCGATTTAAACCGATTTAAAATAATGCCGAACATTTAAGGATTTCTACACAAAGCATCTAATTTAACAATACCAAATTTTTTAACGAACACCACATCAGTGACAGTACACTTTCCATTGTATGACCTACTTTCTAGGTGTCGTAAAGCTACAACCAGTAATAAATTACAAACACTAAACATGTAATGACCATCATCAGAAGTGTTAGACAAAAAAGACACTTGTCGATGAATGACATCACTTCCATTTTGCTAGGAATGTTGTCCATATCCTGATCCCTGGGAGCGATTATTCTGTTTGTTGCTGTACCATTCTCCTTCACATTGACATCGCTTATTTCCTTACAAGTATCCACTCTATTTCTAAGATTTGCCGATTTTCGAAATCCACGACGGGAGGCAAGCCACAATAACCAGCCAGGAAATTTACTTATGTCGGTTACAGAATTACATCGTAGCGTAAATATTGTCAACAGGATTAGCACACAGCTATTTAACATAGCCACAAGTAAGAAATACGAAACTCCCGCCATTGGTTCTGAAACCTGCGGCATGTTTTCCCCTATTAGTGTCATATATACTGCTAGTGACAAGAAGACGGTAATTGTATATGAAATCCTTTCACCCGAGGAGGCCGGCAGGACGAACACAAATGGGTTGAGGAAACACAGAAGCAGTATGGGCGTAGTCATGGACACCATGAAATATCCAGAGCGTCTGGTCACATGAATTGAACAGTCTATTACCGAAAAAATGCTTCCGAAATCTGTGTTGTTTGTCACTGATGTCCATTCGAGATTCCACTCTCCGTTAGGTCTGTAATAACCTAGGTTCATGTTTGAACGTGCTATGATAAAAATCATTTCATGAGCTGTATACATCCATGACGTGAGCTGCATGATGCACGTTTGCGAATCTGTCGGGAATTTTGTCATGTCGAAACTGCAACTAGCTCTTACGTGTCGACCAGGCGAAGACGTAACTCCGCCATTTGAATATACTCTTACGTCGAAGGCATCCAAAGACAAATCGGTCAGATCGTCAGAAGATGTTGTGATATAAACTCGTGGCCTCCATACATTTGATGAGTTGAAAACAAAGGAAGTGATGCCGTTGTAGTCACTTGAATTCCAAACCAACTGGTGATCTGTCCAGAACATTGATATTCCACAATTTAATGTGATCGTTCCACTTTTCTCGTCAAGGTCTGAAATAGATATTAGGAACATATCAAGTGATACATATGTGACGTCACTCAGGTTGTAAACTGGTCGGAAATCTTTTGTGTAGTTCTGAAACAGCGTGTTCCTCAGTCTCACCAGGTCATCCATCGTACCTTGCCCATGTGCACACAAGATGATAATGTAAATGCACATTAGTGACAGAAGTATTGCTTGTAACGTTACCATCCTTGTCTGTTAGGACATGCCAGGTTGAGTCTGAAAGAAATCCGAAAAGATAACATTATTAAGAACAGTAAAGAAAATTACCATGGCTAATCTTCAGATAATGTTTAATCGGATATTTATCATCACTGTTTCCACTCAGATTTGCTTGAATTATCAATAAGTGAAATATCACTATGAATCCATGTCACACATTATCAGATTTTGTCTCATGAAAAAAACTGTAGTTACTCTGTACCGACCGCGAAAATAATGCAAGTAAAGCTATGAATAATACCAACAATATCGAAAGAAACAATTTGTAATAACGCACCAAAGATATATAGTTATTTGATGTAATTTATATTGATTGGCACCGAGTACAGCTTTTCATCGTATATGCAAAATCTTGTGCTGTTCTATAAAATAGAACATGGTTAATTGAGCTGTGGATTCTGTAGTATTATGTAAATTGCAGATGCACGTTTAAATAAAATATCAATCATACCAAATCCGATTGCAAAGTAGTGTATCCAGAACAGACCACGACTGATCTACAGGACATTTATAATCCAATTCTTGTGCGAGATGGATGGACTTTATATGAATAGTACTGGCGAGAAAAATGTCAACAAATGGTGAGGTCTCCAACATTCACGGAATGACTTTAGCGATTCCTCATCGTTAAATATCATTAGTAAGATCAAAGGGCACTAAATGGGGACAGTAGATAAGATCGATAATTGTGTTTGCTGTGTTATTAGAGCCGAAGCGGGTATGGTGTTACGTGTACAGATGCTATCAAAGGTAGAACTTGCGTTTTTGTAATTTGAATTCCTGAACTCTATTGAACTATTATCTATTCAGACTGTTCGGTGATTTAGAATAATTGTTAAATTGTTTCATATAGGACAAATGGAACAATGGTTGCAGTTCATGGAGCCAGGGAAACGACCAATTAAAACTTCCGCTTACAAATGTTATTGATATGAAATGACAAAATTATATTTAGAGAGTATCCATTCTATTGGATGATAATTACTTTCTGACGTCATAATTCGAAAACAATTTCCATTGCAGCTCTCTTTCACGTGTTTAGCAGTATGTAGCAACTTATGTGTTGAATATAGGTAACCGGAATTAAGTTATAAATGAAGGTTTTCGGGGTGTCATGTACAACTTTGTCGTTTGTTCGTCCAGTAAAATGCGCACAGTTGAAATATCCATTTTATTGTCCAAACAATGAATTGCTAAATGACGTTACACGAAATTATATTGACGTGTTTAAGGTTAAAGCCTAGGTACTAGTCACTCATTGAAAAAAGGTCTAATTTTATGCCTAGATAGTAATTTCTCATAGTCATTGAACGCTTGTCAGTTATATTTTACTAGCAGGAAATTAAGCACTATATTGAGGCCATTCCGTTAACTGTCAAACTCACTTATTGAACAGATGTTCATTAAAGTTGATGAATAATTTAAATATTTCAGTGGAATGCCAAGATGCCATCGTATCCTTAAATTCAAGGTCGTCATATATATCTTTGTGAATTTCCTGTTGAAATCTTGCTAAAATATATTACTGACATGATATGGGTATGTAGGATGAAAAAGTAACATCTTGTTCAGTTTCATGGTAGATCGCAGGATGAAACTTAACGTGCATCAGCATGCAAGGTTTTAACAGTTAGGACACAATAGCTGCATGAAGATGGTTTATTAACTATTTAACTGCACTGTATCTTAATTTTCTCTTACATAATGTCCAAGGTCAAATCTTTGACGCAGTCGAAAACTTTGCTGTGGTGACGGCCAGTGATATTTATAGAACGGAAACGGAATCTAGAACAATACTTGGTATGAGATATTTTCACTCAACACCAGAACAAAAAGGGACTCTCACAAATACAATTTGAGAATATGATATGTACTTATGACCAGTGTTTAAATTGATAAGACGCATCTACGAGTAAGTCCGCATTTTGTTTGGTTGATCAAAAGAGGTTTTTCACGTCAAATCTACAACTCTGGTCCTTTATTGAAGGCCTCTCGGTGTATGCGAGGTGTTTGTGTTCAGTGAGTGTGTTTTGGAAAGACTGTATTATGTACGCCTCCTGATGATTCTGTGCTACCCACTTCTGCCAAGTCAGTTTTGTGTACATTTAACTATGATCCTTTCTAGGGAAAAGGGCAAAATCTCTAAACAAGTTTGACGACACCCCTATTAGTACAAGATAACATAAATTCGAATCACATTATCCCCGCAACCAAGAGCTTGAAAGGCCGGGCCAAAAGGAATCAAATCAACTCAGATTTCTAAAATTTTCAACACCAACATAAGATAGAATGTAATGCTCTTCGTGGATGGAAGTGCCTGAAGTGTTTTACAAAATGTGTGTATTGTATGAACGCAGGGTCTCAGAATTCTCACTATGGCGAATTTATTAATATACTAAATGTATCATACAACATCAAAGTCATCCCACCTACGGCTAAACCCTACCCGAGTCAAAAATACACTTCTTTTCTGGTAAACATTCTTCACAACTGTACGATACTATCAATCATAAAGTCATCGCCTGCGAAAAGAAAGAAAATGGTACCACAAAGGATCTAAATCATTTTGCGAGATTAATTTGGATGTAATGTTAAGCTTGCTAAAACAAATAAAAATCAAGCGTTTCACATTTGTCATAATATCCAAGTATCATAATACACGTGTGCGTTTTGAGGAAAGGTGAAAATAGGAAGGAATGCCAGTAACGCAGAAAAAGTAACGACGAAAACCGGTTTGTGACAATGCATTATTACACATATGCTGACGCCTGTATCTGGAAAAGGTGCAGCGGCAACATGCCGATCTTTTGCTTTTAAATTTATTATATAAACATTAGCCTTTCAGAAAATTCGTGCAAGAACGACTATTTAATACTAGATTTTTGTATACTCTATAGATATGAATATCCTTAAACAGATTCCTTTATGCGACATATCGGTTCTTAGCTGTTTAAAGTGTACCCTGAGTGTAATTTTGTATTTAGATATAATGTTAAGAATGCCGTAAAAATAATAATAACGAAAACCCGTCAAAATCCGTCGCCCTAATGTCGAGTTATTTAAGCTCAAAGTTGTCGATTTTCACCTGTCCTCTCAGACCTTATCAGCGTAGTCGTCATTCTACTCGTGACGTCATAAGTTCAACAGAAATGGCAGCCAACATGACTGACAGTGACAACGACACCGCACCTGATAGCGATTTGAACATGAATTTTGAGGAGTCTGATTATGGTTTGGATGATATTTCTGAAGACGGAATCCAGCCCAACCGATTTGAACAAGACGATGTATCCAGTGAGGAGGAAAATAACATCGTCATTTAGTGGAACTCTTTTCGGCGGAGTCTGATCCATTGCTTTCATTACACTATACCAAATTTAAAATGAAGTTCCGTCGACGTCTTTTGAACATCAATATGAATATTTCGTTGGACTTTTCCACATGTCTCTCTTCTTCCTGACAAACTGAATCCATTTTTTGCATAAATCTGGCCTATTTAATGGGAAGGCATGCATCGACAACCCATCCGTGTTAGTGTTAGGACGGCGTCGGGAATTTTCGTACCGAAGAATTTTCGTCCGAGGGGAATTTTCGTTACAGGGAATTTTCGTAGCACTATGGATATATATATAGATAGGGTGTCAACAACCAAATATAACACCCTCCGCTGTGTTGATAATACAAATGTGATGTTTTAGAAGTTTATACAATGATTTGATTGGTTTTACCCAAGTACTGGTACGCGTTTGTCGTTAGCCGACAGGCGTGTCGTCTCACCATTGTTTTTTTTTTCAAGCCACGGAGGCGCTACTTACCTAGCCTGGCACAGGTGTGATTATGAGTTTAGATGACATGTCCTACACATATCCTATTCTATAGTACTACTGTATCATAGTAGTACGAAAATTCATATGACGAAAATGCCCGGGACGGAAATTCTTCGGTACAAAAATTCCCGGGACCGTTATGACAACCGTACGCTGCACATCACTTCCCTCCTCGATAGGAAGCCATTTTAGCGGATTTAAGAGCTAATTCACCGACCCCTCGTTCACTACCTTAAATATATTGCGTAGATGTGAAGTACTTTCACGTAAATAAACAAAGAAATTACCCCAGAAAATCCCAAAATAGATCACAATCACATGTAGCACAGTAATGCCAATATGGCTGTATCAGCAAAAGCGTTGAACTTATGACGTCACAGGTTTGGATACCCGAAAACGAGGTCAACGCCTCTCAGCCAAAGTTGTGTTTTTCAGAGAAGTCGCAATTCTTCAGTAACGGAACATTCCACGGCATTCGCGTTTTCGGCAATGTGAATTTTATGTGCAGAACTATTGTTTAAGCTCAACTTAGCTGACCTCTCAGGGTACAGTTTAAACCTACTTTGTCACTGTATTATTATCTATTTCAATAAACAATATATGTTTAGACAAATAGAATAAATATCACATTTGCTTATAATTTAAATGACATAAATACCTAAATATGACAAACATAACAAACGGAAATAAATTACAACTATCAGTGGCGAAATTATGATCGTGTTAACGATAGTGTTGAATATTCAAAGTAATCGAATTGATACCTGTTTAGCGATTATGATTAATACTGTTCCAACGTTGTGTCCCGTGTCTGTCCAGATGTTCAATTCAATAACCACTGCACGACAATTCATATATTCCATATGATTTTATAATTGAATCACAGAAGTAGTTCCTTCTAGTCATAGATTCTAGTGATCGCTCATGTCCGTCAAAGGACCCATCAGGGCTAAGCAATACTCATTATAAAAATTAACAATTACCTAATGATGGTTTTAAGGGCGGTCGATACACGTTTGTTGTGTTGAAAGCAGAGTCGATGGGTGCAATTATCGTATCAAC